CGTCATATGGTATGGAATGTCCCTTGGGCCAGTTTGGGTCAGCTGTCCTGGCTGTGCCCCCTCCCAGCTTCTTGTGCACCTCCAGCCTTCTCAGTCAGTAGAGCATGGGAAACTAAAAAGTCCTTGGCTAGTGTAAGCATTACCTGGCAACAACTAAAACATCAGTGCCTTATCAACTTTGTTCTCATCCTAAATGCAAACCACAGCTCTGTACCAGCTACTAGGAAGGAAATTAACTCTATCCCTGCCGAAACCAGGACAACTTGAAACCTAGAATAATATTTCATCCATGCTTCTGACTAGCTGTGAGCTGATACTAAGTGGGGATTTAGCTCCTCCATTTCCTACTCCCTTGCAACAGCAGTGGCACAGGTGTCTTTCGGGCCCTCTGCTCTGTGCAGGAGTTGCAGGAGATGCTCTTTCCCCAGCAATGATGCTCCCTGCCAGTGACTGACCTTTCAGAATTAGTCCAGAACCTGAGGCTTCTGCAAATACAATCAATGCTCCTCGAAAGAAATTTGCATTATCCTATCCTGACTCTAAGTGCTACTTATGTTTTAGCATGAGATTATTGAGTTTATTGTAGTCTTTTTTGAGCTCTCCAGAGCTAGCATCTTCTTTTGTTACAGCTCTGTTCTTCATATCCTCCCCCTCCCACCATCACCCCCTGCATGTGTGTTTTCCTTACAAATCCATATGGGTGACTTGCCTTTCAGGAGCATAGTGCGGTCCGGTGCATGCAGGCATGTTTTGTGATAGTAAACTCCATGTACGGATGCAGCTGAACTTTCTACAGGCTGTAGATTAAAATTCTTATAATATTTTTTATGACTGTTAAGGTAAGCAAAACGTAAAGTGTGGGAAAGATCTTTAAGTATTTAGAGATTTCATTGTGATCTCTCCCTCTCTCGTTCGCATTGAAGCCTTGAACGAAAGTCTCATTTGATACTGATGATGGGAACAACCTTGAAAGTGCAGCTGAGGACTTTGCTTATGACTGGATAGGACTTTAAATCATCACAAAGTCTAAAAATAAATTACTCTTCCCCGTTAAAGCTTGAAGGTGGTTGTTTAGCTATATGTTTAGAAATAACCAAAGGTGGGTGGACGGGTAATTCTTGAGCTGAAGTTCAACGTTCATTGCTTGAGGGGAAACACTGGCCACATGGAATCTGTGAGCACTCCCAGAGCAGACAAGAACATTGCATAGGCCACTGCCCAGCAATGAGTGAAATCATAAAATTTCAGTGCAGCTAAACACAGCTACTAGTGAGGCGGCCGGGAGGGCTCGCATTTGTTTGTGCTGTTCTTACAGCAAGTTGTCATGGTTTCTGCCTGTGGTACTGCTTAAGTTTTAATCTTTCAGTTTGGGGCTGTAGGGGAGAAGTTACTTCCTCCTTTAAGAGCAGTCCATTTACATGATAAAAGGGCGTTCCCAAGTAATATTAAACAATTTGTTTTACTTTAATTTTAAAATGTAAAATCAACTCTAAAATATGAAATAAAATATAATACTTCATAGTGTTTATCTACTATCCCTAAGAGCACTGCAGTTTATCTATTATCCCTAAGAAAAGCACTGCAGTACATGTTTGGTGGATTGGGTGGTGGTTTTTTTTTTCCCCCCCCCGATTTTTTTTTTTAGACTACAGGAAGTATGGCAAGTCATCCTACATAATCTTTTTGCTTTGGGTTGTTGTTGTTGGCAGTTCTGGAGCTGTTCCCTCGTGGTTTCGTTGGTTATGCAATTAAGAACTGTCAAAAAATATGTACTGCAGGGAGCAGGTGTTATATTAAGTATGTGAAACTAAGTAATAATAATAAAAAAAGTCTGCAGTCTGATAATAGATCAGAAGCAGAACGAAAACTCACTCAAAGCAATGGGTTTTTTCCCAGTCACAGCAGAAAGCATTTTACAGGTCTACCACTGCCTTCTTTGATTTCTGTGCACGCCCCCCCCCCCCCCCCCCCACCCCCACCTCCCTCTCTCAGCCCCCCCCCCCCCCCCCCAGCCAGCACTGGTTCATTTCTCTGTCAGTGGAAATTTTTTCATGAGCAAAAAGACCAGCAACCTTCTGTTCGTCTTCTGAAGGCTGCTTCTCTCCATCACTGGTATTTTGGGTGGGGTTTTTCTAAAGATAAAAAGGCATCTTCTTAAGCAGACAGTTGAACTGTTCTGCTTCAGTGACTTCTACATGTGTTAAAGAAGTCCTAAAATATATGTCTTGCTACCAGAGAGAGTACCGCATTCAGTATGTTTGCAAGTGACTGGGGCCATCTTGGACTTGCTGAAGTGTCTGTGGAAAAGGTAGCTTTGGTGGGCTTGTATTTCCATTTTTTTTCAAATTACTTGATGAAAAAATGATGTATTTTAAATATTTTAGGAAGGTTTTTGGTGCTGAAATACTCATTTTAGCCATTAAATATTTAAAATTGTGATGGCTGTTTGGAGTTTAAACTGTTCTATCTAACCTGCAGCAGCACATAACTCAGTCATCAGAAAGCAGAAGACAAAATGAAATGTGTTATTTCATCCCTGTCATTCACTAACAGTGTCAGGAATGAGATATTTTGGGCTTGCATAATTTCTTACTTAAAACAGTTAAGAGGCAGGAGAGAAAGAGGCTGCAGAATCTGATAGAGTAAAGATATATAACTGGAAAAAAAAAAATTGATTTGCCATTTAAAAAAGAAAATCACATTCAACCAGAGCAGAAAGGGGGAAAAAGCCCCAAAACTACATAGGTTTACAACTGCACTCAACAAGGAGAGGTAGCAGGCAGAAACAGCCCTTCCTCTTCTAACAGCCCGAGCCCTGCACAGTGTTTTCTGTGGTGTGGGCTTGTGCTTGCCTGAGAGGTAAAAGCCATTTGTCTCCACCAGAAGGAAAGCTCCTAACATACTTCCGTGTTAGCAGCGGTTATAACCAATGAGCCAAATTCTTGCCCCTCCTTGCTGAGCTACTTGGCGCTGCTGAGCCTGTGCAGCCAGAAGTGCTGGAGTGCTCTTCTGTGCCTTCAGCCCAGAGCATATATACCAGTTAAATACAAATACATTGAGCAAAAAAACCAAAAAGTTATTTGGAGTGTGTTTTCGATAGTCCTCTGTGCTTTTATCAGTGCAATCCTAGCTACAGAAGTGAAATGGTGGCCTTATCTTTATGGAGATGGGAACCACACTGGTGGTACCGTTTAGAGATGTCCATGCACAGGACTTCAGACATCGTATTTGGAGACAGAGTATCCTATTTTGATATAACTGATCCTATAGAAATTTGGTGAAGGTGTTTGCTCCAGAATAATTTCCTGGTCAAAGAAATATACATGTGCTTATCTTTGCGCTCTGTTTTGTTAAAATAGGTGGAGTTGTATTTTGGAAGTGAGGCATGTTTGTAAGAGGCATTGGGCAGGGGTGGGGTGTCCAGGAGTCCTTAGCTGGGGTTGACCTAAATATATAGTTGTATAATAACAAGAGCAGCTCCAAGCTCTGTATCGCTAAACCTTAGCAAACCACCTCCAAAAACATAGCCGTGTGTCTTCCCCAGTCACTTGTGAACATTTTGCAGCCAGCTGACAACAGCTGCCGAGGATTGCCTAAGAAAGCTCCGAATCCACCTTTTCCAACGCAAGGTGCCTGCCCAGAGAGATGCATGGGAGGATTTTGCTCAGCTTCTCCTGCTTGAGTGGCATCCATCCTGACCGTGGAGCCAGTGCAGGGAGCCCTACTCCTGGGGTGAAGGAGAGATCCTGCTTGGGTCCTCTCGGTTTGGAAAGAGGAGGCTGATGTTTAAAAGCTGAGGAGGCAATAGGATGTTTTTGTAGCTGGGGGTCAATGTAGGTGTTAGCTGGCAGTGGCTGGATGACATGTGGGAAAGGTAAAGGGGAGAGGCAAATTGCAAATCCTTTTTCCCATGGCCGTTATTTTTAGGCAGGCGATGTGTATGCAAGCCAGCAACTGAATAAAGCCACCCTGCTCTTCCCTTGTGGGTACCTGTCCTGAGCAAACCGGCTGGTTTACAGAACTGCAGAGGTAGTTAAAAATTTATCGGGATTTCCAGTGAAAGAGTAGGTTTAAAACATAGGTTAATGACGGGATTTTTTCATTTGGTCTAATTATATGCTTCCCTACGTGGAGGTTTTAAAACCACGGACGCCGTGAAATTTAGCCTGAGTTTTCACTAGCCTGCAGGATCTGAACGGTTTGTCTCTCCGCTTATCTCCGTTTCAGAGAAATGGTTGAGAGGGGCTTTTGATTCTGCTGACTCAGATGCTTTAGCGTCTCCTGGACCTCAGCCACAGTCACGCAGACCTGTGCTGGGGTCCCTGGGAGCAAGGCGCAGGCAGCACTGCCTCGGCTGTGTTTGTGTACCGGGGATGCTGGCTGCGCAGAGCTGCTGGGAGCTGGGTGCAGGGATGAGCCCTGGGGAGGCTCTCGGAGCAGTGAAGAAACACACTGATTTCCAGAGATGGACAGGCATCACTGGACTGTCATGTATGACAAATATCCCCAGAAGGGGACTAACCCAGTGCTTCTAAAATGGGATTTGTTTTTTTTTTTAAATAAATTAATTCTTAGATACAGTTAATGCAAACATGTTTTCTGGTATATATGGCACTGAGCCTGGCTCTTTCCACTGTCTACTCATGTCTAGCAAAAGTGATAATGACCTTCAAATAACTACTAAATGCCAATCTGATGTCTGTTTTTTTTTTCAGGTTGATTTTTAATTTAATACAAACCAGTGAAGATGACACCAAAACATGAAAAACAAGTAAGTCATGTCTAAGCTTTAATAAAAAAGGATTCTACTTTGGTGGTTGTGGATTGAATTTCATTAAGATTCACCTGGGCCAGGAAAGATTGGTTGTATTCTTCATGCTTTAAGTGCCAGGCTACAGAATATTCTGGAGTGATGCAGTGCTAGTTCCTTCTGTTAAAGTTTGATGGAACAATCAAATATTCATTGGATAAGAGAGAAGGAGATTAAATGACTCTGTACATAAGGGGCTCAGACACTGAGATAGGAGAGAGGGATTCAGTCTTCTCTCCATCAGTCATCGGGGAGTTTTGTAGGACGTAATGGTTAGAGCTGGGTCTGAACTCTCGTTACCAGATGCATGGACCACAAGAATCGCACTTGCACATTCTCTTTTGCTCTGTCCCAATGAATGTTATAAGTTTCAACAAATGATTTTTGTCTCAGCTGTTAGTCTCTTCTCAGCCTTACTACTCAGCATGCGTGGAGTGAAGATGACAATGCTCCCAGCGTGAAAAGCCCCATGTCCTTTGTGGTTGATCCTTTTACTAACGGGCAACCTGATGGGAAACTTTTTTTCTCGGAAGCATTGTGGAAAATGACTCTTTGGGGGTTATTGACTCATCAGATGTGTAACAGTGGCACCATGGAGCATGAGGTTATCACCTGATATGGTCCTGAGCACAGAGATTTGAATTGAAATGCAGCTGGAATGAATGAAGCAAATAATCATCCAATGCAAGATCATTTTTAATCCTCCTCCTTGTGGTAGATTTTTTTCCCCATATTAAAAATAGGAAATCTGACATGGAAACATCTATTTTCCTAATAGGAAAATGTTAAAAATGGACTTCTCAAACACAGTTTTTGTGGTCAAATTCTATATAGTAGAGCTGCTGGCTTATCCTTGTCTCTGAGCAATCCATTGCATTGTGCAGAAATATTTCCAACAGGAGAAAAGCAGGGGAGGGGGGAAGAAAGACGACTTCTTGTGTTTGCTTCAGCTGCTTTTATGGTGTATTCTTCCTTTTGAGGCAAATCCAAATGGGAACGTTTCAGTTTTCAGTGCTTGTGTCTACATGACCTCGGTGCTGCCCTTTTCCTCTGCTATCAGCACTTGTGCTCCACGCAGGACTGTAACCGGGAGGGAGTAGGTGTAAACCAGGCTTGGGGGTCACTTTGGTCATTTTGTCATTTGTGTGTGACCCTAACTACTTGGACTGCTCCAGGCCTTGAGGACAGGGTAGCAAAATGCCACTGGTACCATCCGTGCCTGAACTGGCTGGCACAGAAATCACAGCAGTTTTAGCCAGGAATTAAAAGGCACATCCAGCCAGAGAAGCTGCTCTGCTAATTCGTGCTTGTTAAGTAGTTATGACTACTTTTGGGGCAGGTTTGAAGTTCTTCATGAGGATGTTTGGGCCAGCATGGCTACTGGGATCCATATCAAAGCTATAGTACTAGCAGTTTGGATAGGAAATGTTTTGCTTACGAATTTAGCAGTTTCCAGGGAGAAGGAATAAATGGTGATGCCACTTTCTCCAGCAGCTTTCTGTTGAGTCTATATCATTTCCAGTGCAGTAGGCTTCCACAACCAAGCTTGGACACTTTGAACTGTCAGCAGTAAGTTCTGGTTTTGAGAGAATTGTTGCACTTAGGCATTACAGGAAACATATTGTTCTTGAATGCATGATAGATGTGCATGTATTGTGCCCCTCGATTAAAAAACAAAACAAAAAAAAAAGAAAAGAGAAAGTATATATAGTGTGGCATTGTTGTGGTTTAACCCGGCAGGCAGCTAAACACCACACAGCTGTTCGCTTGCTCCCCCTCAATGGGATGGGGGAGAGAATTGGAAAAAAAAGTAAAATTTGTGGGTTGAGATGAAGACAGTTTAATAGGACAGAAAAGGAAGGGAAAATAATAATAATGATTAAAGGATATACAAAATAAATGATGCACAATGCAAATGCCCACCACCTGTGGACTGACACCCAGCCAGTTCCCGAGCAGCGGTCAGCCTTCCCCCTGGCTAACTCCCCCCAGTTTATATACTGAGCATGATGTCATTCATATATATATATATGACACATATATATCCCTTTGGCCAGTTTGGGTCATCAGTCCTGGCTGTGCCCCCTCCCAGCTTCTCACTGGCAGGGCATGAGAAGCTGAAAAGTCCTTGACTAGTGTAAGCACTGCTCAGTAACAACTAAAAGATCAGTGTGTGATCAACATTATTCTCATACTAAATGCAAAACACAGCACTGTACCAGCTACTAGGAAGAAAATTAGCTCTATCCCAGCCGAAACCAGGACAGGCATAATAGCTAGATCTGCAATACTGGAAAAAACAAGCAAATCTGGGTGGGAGGGGAAGAAGACACCTTGAAAAGGATTGCAGCTGACAAAAGTAAAAAGTCCCTGAAACTTTGGCTGTCTTTGGGGTCTGCTTCCCGGGTTGTACGGCTGGACTGCAATACAGTCTTGTGACAAAAAATGAAGTTAGTCTTCATGTGGGCTGTGGGAGGAAGAGGTCAGCCTCACCTCCCATAGGTGAACAGTGCGTTACTTGAAGATAGACATGTATATTGAGGGTATCCTAATTTTTATAGCAAGATGGGGAGGGAAGGGAGTATGTACAGAGGAGAAAGGCAATTATTACCCAGAACTGCTGTGATCTGGTGACTGTTTGTGATCAGTGAACGCAGGATGGACTGAGCATACAACAGCAATCTCCCAGAGGAATATTCTGCCACCTAACTCTGCTTGGACCCTAACATAGCTTATGTGTGAGTATTGGCCTTTACAAGCCTACTTTTATAGGGACAGGGAGGCGTAAGCACCTTTTCTGGCAGCGTATCTGCATCTATACCAGGCAGTTAGGGCTGCTTTGATTAAATTGGTATTGTTGTCCCAGTGGGGTCTTGTGTCCTGGAGAAGGCTTAAAGGTCAGAACCGAAGAGATAGTCTAGGTGTGCAATGCCACTGTTTCAGAGCAGCAGAAACTGTGACGGGAATTGGGATTAACACTTCCTGGATTCAAGATGTTTATAGGGGAAGTAACCATAGATGTTGAGAAAGACTGTACATTTTTGGTTTTGTTTTCTAGTTGCTTAATGTTTATCTTGCTTCATTCTGAACTCAGTATCGGTGTTCTTTGGTAAATGAAGGAAGAAAAAAAAGAAACACCCAGTCTTCTGCTGAAATCCTGGTGTTTCAAATCAGAGCTGACACTGACTGCCTGTGAGGGCTGCAGCCTGCTGAGGTGCTCTGCTGTACCGCAGATCACTTTTACTCTTGGCTCGGTGATATACTGCCTAGACACCTGCCTGCCACAGCATGTACAGCAGGTGCCCGTCCTGTAGGGTGCTTGACTTCCTCAGTATTGAAACTCAGTGACTATTTAACTGGAAATTAAAAGTGTACAGAGGTTTTTTATGTAAATCATGTGGTCTGGAATGATTTGCAAGGTAACCTGTAGCTAACCCACAGCATATCCAATAGTAACTTTTAATCGTAATACTTTGGTATAATAGAGGTCGAAGGAAGCATTTTACTTTGAAGATTATTTTGATTCTGTACAAAGGAGAGGGTTATAGAAGATTACTTGGAAATGAAGTAATTTGGGGAACCTGGACAAAAGGAAGGCCAATGAGAAGCTGGTACGGCAGTAGATGAGAGGAAGGGGACCGAGGTTAGGTTATGAGCAGGCTACCTGCAGCTGTGACTCCTGGGCTGCAGCAGTTGAAGGGAATAGGAGAGCAGTGTCCCGTTTGAAGCTTTCTAGCGTAATCCCTCTTCTTCCACTTGCAGGACTGATGCATTTAGTGCTCAGGAAAGAAAAGAATGTATGTTTAGGAGAAGTGGTTGCAGCTCTGGGCAAGAGTGGGACACAGGGAAATAGGAGGCTGGGGAAGACAAAAACTTGGGAGAACGTAAGACTATGGACATGAAAAGATGTTACAGTGGGTCCGAAAGTATGCTATGTCTATATATGTATGCTAAATATGACAGACAGTAAGGCAGGCGGAAAAAAAACAACCAAAAAATGGTTTCCTCTCCTTTGTTTAGCATATTGCTCAGGAGGGGGAATAACTTCCTCATATCTCCCACTAGTGTTTTTGTAAAAGTAAAGGCATGACCCTCAGCTGGTAGAAGTGATTACAGCTCTGTTCATTTGTTCCTCTTGTGCCATGCTGACATGGGGTTAAAAAGCTGCAGAGGAGAATAATCAGGCCTCTGGTGCTCTTCAGCAAGGAAAGAAGCAGCAGAGGTGCCGGGAGCCTTTCAAATGGGCTTTCTTTGGCAAGGTGCTCATGGCACACACCAAGAGGGTATCCAGCAATAAGGCAGAAAACACCCCTGTGGCCATGAGCTGGGCTAAGTGAGATAAAACCCTGGGCTGTATCCAGCCATCAGGCCAGAGGCTCCCCGTCCCTGAAGCAGCACCGCCTGGAAATCAGAGTGGTAAATGATTTAATCCAGACCACCAACACCTCCCTGCCATGTACAGAGTGAAATGACTGTTCAGGAAAAAATATCTCTCTTCCTTTCAAGGTTGTCATTGTTCTCCTGTCAGTCCGTTGAAGGTTGCTGTTGGTGGCAACACTGAAGTGTGTGTGGTGGGGGGGAGAAGACTTGGCTGAAGAGTAAAGGTTTTATTTCTGACATCTGTGGTTTGGGCATGGAGAGACACATTTTGAGAGCTTTCTAGTTCAAGATTTCTTGATTTATGCAAAGATGTACTAAAAAAGCAGGTTAGTTACCAGAGACACTGTCCTTCTTCCCACAGTCGATTCCTGTACCTGGATATCTTGTGCAGTGTCTTGCTCTCGGGGGGAATGTATCTACAGCTTAAAATGATACGCTTTTCTTTAACTGAGTCATTGTCTAAGTGGTTGGCTTAGCTCTGGGTGAATAGCTTATTTAAGCAACTGAAGTAGGGCAGCCTATTTGCTCGGGAAATAGCAGGTAGCTAGGCACGCTTTCAACATTTGTATTTTAAACAAACCTTTTCCATCTTAGTATGAACATACAGATTTAGGAGGCTTTTTGGTGGGTGGTTTTTTTGTTTTCTGTTTTTTTTAAAACACAGTACAGGTTTTCACATGGTCATTAGCTGAGGATACTCAGAAGCGTTTACTTCTTCAGCCTCTTCCAATTCCTATTAGTGATGCCCAGCTACATTACAGTAATGCCCACAGGCCTCTCACACTCCTTCGGGATCCCTCTAAATTATTGTATAAAGGTAGGAATTACAAGGAAATAGACTAGATATGACAACTTCTGCAACAGATACTTTATATCATTGTCTCCCAAAAATGGGGAATTATGCTCTGCGGTGCAGCTGTGTTGCTTCCTTGGACAGGCTGACGGACAGACTGGGACAGAAGCGCCCAGGTCCTCCATCCTCATCTGTACTCCATGGCTTAAGTTCCTGGTGTGTCAGGAAGGATATGCGGCAGAGGAGGAGGATTCGTCTCCTTCCATAAAGCATCCAGGACACTGGGCCTGAGACCTTGATTCCCTGTGTCAAATCTGTGTCTGGGGCAATTAATAGTGGTACATCCTTTTCCACTGGGCTGGAGCAAGTCATTTGGGGCGTAGAAAAAAGGCAGTTCTTCAGCTCCTCATGGAGATACCGAGCACTTGCCTCAGATCCCTGAAATCGATGGGTATAAATACTTGGTTTAAAAAAATATAGATAAAATGACAAAAAGAAATTTAGGAGCAAATAAAATGTTATATTGTAAGTATTGGGTACCTGGAGGAGGTTTGTAATGCATTCTTTATGAATGTTGATTACAAGGGTGGGAAAAGCCTAAAATACCTGCCTAGTTCTCTTACATGTGTGACTTTGAATGTTAGGTTTTTAGTTTGTAGCTACTGAGGTCACCAAATCTCCCATGCATGAAACATGTATGACTTTTCACAGTATTACTTAATCTGAAATATTCCTTTTCAGCTAGGAATTTGGCAAGGAATTTCCCAGACATGTGGTGTAGCTCAGCTGATTCATTGCTTTTTGCTTCTCCTTTTATAGGGTTGCAAAATTCAATAAAACAGCAGTTCAGCTTTTAATCTGAGCATGGTAGTTTGTGGAACAGCAGAGCAATCGAGAGAGTCTTTCAGGCTGCCTTTGTCTTCCGAAATTAATTGCTTGATTTTTATTATGCACTTGCAGGAATTTGTAACTGTCTTGGTGCGAGACCCCAGGACACAGAAAGAAGACTCATGGCATTCTTACATAGATTATGAGATATTTATTCACGTAAGTATAAAACTATCAGCAGAGATTCTTTGGGCTCTTGTCGTCGTTTCTGTCCAAGCCAGGGTTCTTTTTGGGGTATTAATGGAATTTCTTTACACCACTTCTGGGAGGCTGGAGGATATTATTCTCCCTTTAACGACCGAGATGCAGTGGAACAGGTAAGGTGGGTTGGTCAAAGGCTGTGTAGTAGGTCTGGCAGAGCTCGGAGCTGAACCTGGTGTTGTGTTCACATGTGCACTCCACAGTGTCTTTCAACAGAGACTATTCTTAGCTTTACTTATCAGCTAGAAGACTGTCCTAGTCAGTGATGTCTTACCATTATAGAAGAATTTTGATGTTCAGGTATTCATGGGAAAACAACTTTCTTTTCAAGTAATTATCTGGTTATTTGTACTTTAAATTCTCCTCAGTTCTTCTTTTTGCCAAGTTGTTTGGTTGCTGCAAGTGGTTGTTTTCAGTGTACTTTGACATTCATGTTATGCTAGTTTAGTGGTGCTTGGCTATGTCAAGTAACTACATTTGGGTTTATGATTGTAGTCTACCATATGTTAATGGGAGTGCACTTAGAATTATGGTTCTCATGTGTCTTAAATCTGTCCTATACATCACTTTGTTTTGTTGATTATTCTTCTTTGGTGGATGACATATGGAAGGAGTTATCCTAATTTCCCAAATCTAGATCCAGGGATTTTAATTGCAATGTAAAAAAAATTTTGTGATGTGTATCTGCTATCAGGTGAAGAATTTGAGAGCACCGAGTTACACAGTTAATGCTTGGCACAAGACCAAAAGCATTTCCTTCCTGTGTGGGAGAGTTACGCGTTCAGCGTAATGAGAGCAAGCAGTCAAATGATGGCTTATTAAACATCCGTCGTGACAACTACTTCTCTCCTGTATGGCAATCAGAACTGTGAAACTTTTACATTTTGCAGCGTGGTTTAAGTACTGGTTCCAAAGCAATTATATTTTTGACTTCTGGTAAATAGAAATTCTGTAGATTTGGCAGGGCAGGTGCTGTATTACTGTTTCGCAGGCGTTGGTGCTTCTTGAATAGAAGTATATTACTGGCTTTCTCAGCGACTGCTAAGTTGGGGTGATGTCATTTAGACCCAGTATTACATGATTCAGCACTGGGCATCTCTGAAGCTGATAAGCATCAGCTCAGCTTCCTACCAGCACAATGCCAGGGCTTTCAGAGACCAAGTCTTTAGGTCAGTCCTACCATCCGGGCTTCTCAATGGATTCAAAATCTTGGATCTGCCAGGCTCTTAGACCAGCTGGGTTCCCCTTCTGCCCAGCTCCTAGAGCATTTGGCTTCTTAAACTGGGACGTATCCCAGATACTCATCTATTCCAGAAAGCTGGCATCTTTGGGCCCTCTACAATCTGTATCATGTGGCTGACTAGGAGTTGTGGCTCCTGGCAGGCAATTGAGGGTGGGTTGGACTGCGGGCAGATTTATAACGGAGTCCTGTCTGGTAGGTGGGGTTTCATCTAAATGTATGCTCCACAGGAAAATTTGGCCAAAGCATTTAATTTCCGTGAATTGTTTCTCTTTTGATGCATTGGCATTTTTCTGGTGGACTAATAGTGTTCTGTGGGAAAATTTCCAAATGCTGCTACTTGCGGAGAGCAGTCACATGGGTTTCTTTGATTTGATTTAAGTAGGATTGCATGGAAGAACTCTATGTAGCTAACATTTTGCAGGATTATAACTAGAATGGCTAAACAGGATATTTTTTCCCCTGCAAAGATTGGCATTATCTGCTGAAACTTTTTTCTGAGATCTTTTTTCCTGTTACTGCAAGTTGTACCGTAACTTGCTTTTAAAAAGAAAGCAAGCGATGAAAAATATTTCCCTGAGAAGCAGTAGAAACTGTCACCAGTCCTGTCCGAGATAAAGCATAGTCCTTAACCTGAACTGAATTAGTGTCAGACCTTCCATTGGCGTTCGGGGATTAGCATCTCAGATGTGTTTTTTTTAATACCATGCCTACACTTTAGCTTAAGCTGATTTACAAAGTAAAATGTTTTTTATTTCCCAACAGACAAACAGTATGTGCTTTACAAGGAAAACATCCTGTGTTAGACGACGCTTTCGAGAATTTGTTTGGCTTCGGCAGAGGCTTCAGAGCAATGCAGTGCTTATGTGAGCAACTTTATATATGGCTATTTAATAATCTGTCAGTCATGGAAGGGGAGGATTGTTTCATCTTAATTCTGAGAATTACAGAAATCAGAGCTGGAAAGTGTCCTGTGTTTCTTACTAGCACACGTTTATTCTGTACAAGGCATTTTCTCTGCTTTAAACACAGAAGAATGCGGTTTGTACTGATAGCCCTTGTTTGGTGACACCCCCTCTAATTTGTAACAGATTTGATCTGTTTCCTTTTGCTATGCACAGGTAGCAGAAATAGCAATCTAGTGTAGGTGTACGTACCTCCTCTCTGTGCTTTTAGGATGTGCTTAGGTTCTGCAAGGACCATGAGAGACCCAGCCAGACATGCATGCAGGCTTAACAACTGGACCAGAAAAATCAGATTAATTTATTTTTCCCTTTGAGGTGTGTGAGAAGCCCTCCAGTTTCTCAACCTTGTGTTCCCAAATTCGATTTCATGAGCTTCTGGAACATGACCTGTGATTTTTCACGTGCTCGGCGTTGGCATTTGCTTATCGCATTTTTCTCCACTGTTTCAGACTTGGTTTTAACTGTGTGTTTGCTTCTTGTTTATAAAGACAGCTACCTGAACTACCATCTAAAACTCCCTTTTTCAATATGAACAATCCTCATCACGTGGACCATCGCCGGCAGGGTCTGCAAGAATTCCTGGAAAAGTAAGTACAGCCTATTCTAGAGATGTTGGCATTTTTATGATGTCATCGATTTTCTGGTTTAAAATAGCTCATCTCTGGTACTTGAGAGCCACCGTGTGGTCATCTGTATATGTTACACATTTGGTTTTATTTTTTATTTGCACAGTCATATTTCATACACATGACTTCAGCTCTATTGATTACAAGGAAACTTCAGCTGGGGCTTTTCCATTGTGTTTCATTGCACTGGATATAAATAATAATTTTGGATTTATGTCACTTTGCAATTGTGTACTAAGACTGGGAGATCTTTCACCGTGATGTCTATTTCTACCTTTCAAAAATGAGCTAGATATTCTCATACAAAGAAACAGACTTCTCTCCTTCTTTATGTTCTTGGAAAATCAGTGTCTTTGTGGACTAAACCCCTGGGAGCCTGGGAAAATTCTGTAGTGAGATCTCCTAACACAGATATTTCCTATAGTGCCAATTACTTTGTTTACCAGTCCCACTAACACAAACAAGCTCTAGCAGCTGTGACCACTTTCAGTACAGCTGCAATCTGTATAAAATCATTCATCAGACTTAGCTAGAGTCTGACCTGTGTTACAAGGGAGTTCTGTATGAGTTTCAGTACTGCATCCCTCAGTCCTGCTGCTGTAACCACTTCGTCTTCTGCAGTGGCAGAGACCCTGTTGGTGTTAATTTTTCTGCTTTCTCTGCCATTCTCGTGGTAGCCTGGCACTGCCGGTGTGAGAGCAGGCTGCTCGCAGCTGCTGGGGCAGGAATCGTGCATTCATTTGCAGGCTCTCTTTAGCCACTGCTCGGGGTAAGGGCATGGTAAAACACTGCAAGTAGAGACTATTCATCTTTCAGTATCAGTGTTTCCATGAATCAGAACTGCATAAGCAAAGGGAGAAAGCATATCATTTAAGTAGGCTTTAAGCCTTGTGGTCAGTGGGTAGAGGAATATTGGACCCACTGTTTTTCCAGTCAGTGTATTATAATTATAAGCCTCCCTAACAGACAACAAATCATTGGTCCTGAGGTATATTTGTTAGGCTGAAGGCAGGGAGAGCTAACCGCTGCAGGAATAATATGCTGTATACAGTTATATAGGATCTGTTGCCAAAAGGATAGCCAATAAATACTGGTTGAAGGCGTGTGAGACAGGAAAAGGAAAGCAGAAAAGGATCAGAGGCTTTTTCTGCGCCTCAGGAGAGAAGGACGGTGAAATAGTGACTGTGCTTCTAGATAGCTAGATAATATTAATGGTCATACGAAGGGTGAAGGTAGTTCAGGTCCCTGGGTCTGAACAGTTCTAGCTTAGCTGTGCTCCCCATGGAGTAGTGTGTTTTCAAAATCACTCCCATTTTAAAATGGCAAAGAGGCCAATCTGGTAACAAGGTACAGTATTTCAGCATCAAAAAATATTTGCAACCACTGTCTGTGCTTCAAAAGGCAAAACAGAGAGGTAGATTCTCTTAAAACATATCCTCACTCTCCAATTTTGTGGATGTCTGTAGCTTAAATGGGTACTGACAGCAGAAAATGGCAGCATGTGAGGCGTTTTACCTTGTTGCTGTTAGTCCAGGAGTGGGAAGAGAGTCATCTCTGTTGTAAGGTAATGATTTAAATGTTTGAACTTGGATGCTGTTTAGAAAGGTGTCAGCTTTCTCTCAGCCCTGGGGAATAGTTGGAAGGAATTTTCAGAGATAGAGTTGTGTTGTGATGAATTGGCTTGGCACCTTACGTGCTGTACCATTGCCCTCTGCTGGCTGGCACCTCTGTGCTGCTGCTGCTTGCAGAAGGGATCTTTTTACTGGCTCAGCTAGCCTGCCATGATGCTTTCCCCAACCCCCTTTTTTGAGTCTGAACCAAAGGTTGTGATTTCTTTCTCTGAAATTGCATTTGTGGGCCTCATTGACGTGTGTGTGTGTGTGTGTGTATATATATATATATACACACATACACATGCTTGACTTTACTAAAGCTCTAGGTCTGGATGCTGCATGTTGTAGCGTGGCAATGCCAGGGGAAACAGGACCTCCCTGGTATATGAGGGAGGGTGTTGGAAAGGAGCCAGAAAGTAGTTGCATGGGGTGGTGTAACCCAGAACTGCAAAGCCGAGCGCTCCGTTCACCCCGGCAATGGTGGCAGTCACCGTGCAAAAGCTCACAGCCCCGCTGGTGTTTCTTTGTGGCAGTGGGAAGAAATGGGATTCGAGCCTATGATGTGGACCGGTCAAGGGAAGGGTTTGCAGGTAACATTTTTCAAATGCCCGCATGCGATGCAGGAACCCGAGCTCCTCTCTGCACTCAGTGCCCTGTGAGGTTATCAGGATCCAAGCCATCTCTGAAATGGAGTTTAGAGCTTTCACAGTCTCGGTTTGTGCCCTGTGCCCGTTGCTGTGTGAGCAGGTTGCTGCCGCCTCTGCCCAGACAGGAGCCATGTGCCCGAGGAGCAAGGATCGGGTGGCTGTAGGCTCTCTGGTATTCAACTCCTGGCCCTGGGAGCTCCTCCATATTGCCTATACGTGGACGGCTATGGAGTCCTCTTGTCCTCCTTCATGCGTCACTCCAGAATGAGTTAGCTCAGGGCAAGGTGCTTACTTAGAGCCTTTTTGAAGCCTCTCCGTGCTGAGCACGGTAGCGTGAGAATTAGGCCAACAGCTGGAAACTACAGCAAAGCACTAGAGTTTGGTAAGATCTGGAAACAGGTGTCCCATTTTGATTTGGCTTTACTGCACAAATGCAAGGCAAGACCTGCTTGTCTTATAGGTTATTATCTCTGAGTGATGAAGAGCTGTAAAGCTCACTTCTTGTCTGGGCATAATTTAGTGTTTCAAGAGGCCATTTGCATTAACAGAAGTCAGCTAGCCCCTTTTCAATTATGACTTATGTCGTAAAAATAAGGAAAATTATGTGGTTTTCCTGGTAAGTATCCTCATACCTTTGAGGATGTCTGTAAATTCACAGAAAAAGCTTATTCTTAAATTGGAGGTCAAAATTGAAACACTGTCTTATAATATTAGGTTCTGTAGGATCATCTTTGCTTTCATCCCTTTTTAGCTGCACAGGTTTAACTTCAGGATCTAGATTACCTTCACAGAAGATCATCCATGCTTGCTTATTAGAAAGCTAATTAACAAAACTGTTTTAAATGAAGTTGGGTTTAATCACTGACACTTTTATTGAATACAGTTGGATCCCAAAAAATTATGTAGCTTAGGAAAAAGGATTAGTCTTCAATTAGTTTTCAAACATGCAGTTTACGATGGGGTGGAAGACATACTAGGAGTTTTGAGAAATGCAGCGCTTGGATCCACAAGAGATGAAGGGCACCCACAGCATCGCTGCTCTGGATGGCCGTGCGTCGGGCTCACTTGGTGCCAAACAAGCCACCCGAAACTCAGCTGCCTAGGGCAGAGCCGTTCTCTGGAGGTGGCTGGGGTTTTGCCCTCCTCCTCGCACCTCCTTACCTTCCCCACTGCAGTCCCACAAGCAGGAGCTGGTGCAGGGTCGGAGGACTCTCTCCTGGAGGTGTCTCCACTGGGCGTGCTCTCAGGGACGCGGAAAGCGGGAGACTGGCTCCAAAGCGGGTGGATGCCAGCTTGCCGGGGCTCAGGCAGGAGCATGGGCGGCCGTGGGCCAGGTGGGATCTCCTCGGGCGTGTGGTGGCTGCCTCTTTCCAATGGAGCCTTGCTAGTATTTCCTATCTGGTGAGTGAATAATGCCTAGCAGGCGCGTGTCGCTTAATCCTTTCTTAAACGTATGCATTATCAGATGCCCAACAGTTGCTTCGCAGTTGCTCGCTCTCAGTAACATTTCCTCCCTTGTAAAAACAATGAAGGGGAGGAAACACAGTCAGCTTTTTTTAAGAGGAAACTGGGGCTTTGTTTGCTGTGGGCTGGGGCTGAGGGGCTGGATGCTCAGTAGAGGGCACCACAGCACAGGCTGTCATCCCCCATGCCTCTCAACTCCTGGTTTGGGTTTTGGTTTTTTTTTTCCTTCCCCTTGCTCTCATGATATGATGTAAATGGGCAGGGTAAATTTGTCGAAAACAAAATCGGAGTGTTAACCTTCCACACACAGGCAAGTGTGCATCTGTCATTGTATTAGGTTACAGTAGATACAGGAAATCTTTAGTTAGGATTAAGTTGTACTGTTCAGCCATATGTTGTTCTCCTCCAGCAGAACAGTGTATAATATAACTAATAAAATCATGTTGAAGAAAACCAGATTTTGGACCTTGTCCAAATAAGACAAAACACATGTTTTGTCTTTTGTAAATGTTCTTGCCGTAACACAGGGAAGGAGAAATACTCCTTGAATAGTATCCAGTATTTCCTCAGAAATGACATTATTTCTTTTGGTTGTAAAGTGATGTTTTTTGGCCCTGCTTCTTTAAGGGTCTAGAGATCACGGGTGTTTACTGAAAGCTTATAAACAAAGATTCACATGGCCGTGAATAAAAAATGATTTTATTATCTCTAATTCAAATGTAGAGCCTTATCCTGCAGCCCCCTTAATCACATAAGTAGTCATTATGCACGTGAGCAATCTGGCCGAGAGGAGTGAGATCTCTGACAAGTAATGACTACTGATGGGATCAAGACTTGCAGGATTTAGCCTTTCGTTCTTATTCCAGGCATGCATAGAAAGTCTGTTGTTCTCTTAAATATGCCCAGTCAGTTTATAGGAATTATCACCATGAGCCATGACTCTTCCATTAGCGCGACGGTAGCGAGAGCTGATTTACATTGCTGTAACCACAGCTTTGCACTGACACTGGCTGTAATAAAACTGTTTGAGAAGCACTGGGAGTGCTACTGGTTGTGTTCAAACTGCGCACGCGTTCAGCCTCTGCTAAGACATCCGAGTATTAATATTATGACACTCTGCCCTTCCTCTTGCCTTTTTAATTTGTTAGCTTGTGTTTTGTAATTTTGATTTTTTTTTTTTTTTTTTTTTTTCAAAAGTCCTTGGAGCCAAGTCTGTTTTTTAGATGTACAACCCTTCACGCAGTGAGTCCCCAGGACAGCAAAAGCCCTGGAGAGCAACTGCTATACCAGCACTTAATACTACTAGTAACATCTGGTGACAAATGTATGGTTATTTCCTTGAAGGAGGAGTATTTTGAACAGGAAAGCATAACGCTTACGGATAGCACAGAATTTATTTTTCATTTTGATTGCCTGAAGAATGCAATTAAAAGGCAATCTAACCTGTTGGTTCAGATTGGGGTCGGGGGGGGGGGGGGAGGGGGGAAAGCAGAAGTTTTTTAATTAAAAGAAGGAAGAAATGCTTCAAGGGGTATGACTGGGTAAAAGGTGTTCATATATTTGCTTTCAGGATGGTTTTAAATGGTTTGCAAAATGCATTGAGTGTTTGGTCCCTTCCCCATTGTGAACATACATATATATATATACACACACACACACACACGTGATTAGCTTTATGAACATCTTTCCATTTCTTCGCCTTAGTTTCTCTTCACTCCTTTCACCTCCAGATGGCACTATGAAGCAGAAAAGGAAATTACTGTGAAATAATGAGTCCAATGTAAAGTAAAATTGGAAATTGAATTATAGCTGCAGAAAAAGGACAGTAGCCTTGAGGTCCTGATCAGTCTGTACTCTTATCACTTTTGTTTGCTGTTCCATGTGTTAGGTTACTGCCGAGTTAATAACAGTGCTTTAGCAGTTCAAGGCTTAGCAGAATTGTACTGGACATGAAATAAAGCTAAAATGAATTTGTGTCCAATATCATTGACATTAGTGCTCATTACTTCTCTGGTGTAATGCCTCAAACCATCTAAAATCAATTTTAAAGATTACCCATTATTTTATAAAGAAAATAAAATACATTTCAAACAGCAACAGAGCTGTAAGTGTACTGTAATCTCATGAACAGTTAGTTACTTGTGCTTTGGCTGGTTGGCAGGAAACTTTTGAAGGTACGGCAAGAGGAAAATCTGTGAAACTAAATGCCATCCACAGAATTTAACGTCTTGCCTTTTTACCGGGTTACTTGGTATTAGACACGCAAATGTTAGAATTGCAGAAATGTGCATCCCCTCATTGTGCACGTAAGCCTGGGAAAAAACAGCAACTCTAGTTACTTTACAGTAAACTCCAGCATGTTATTTTTCTTTTCTTTTTTTTTTTTTTTTAAGAAGAAACGAGGAAGGAGAATACTTACTCCCCCAATTGCATAAACGTGGATTTATTGTGTGGAATGATACTTTTACTTTTTGTTGCAATGTTTGTCTTTGTTTGGAATGTACGTTTATCAAGAGTCAAGGCTGAAATCCTCTTTTAGCGGCCGTTGAATGATGGCTTTTCAAACGGTATTCATGAAGCTGTTGCTGTCAAGGTGTGTAGACCTGTAAATTCTGTGTTTTGAGTCATTTTTCCACAGCATTTGCTGGCTTCTTTTAGACTACGAAGAAGTTTTTCTGTATATTAATACACTGCGTGCATTGATTTTACAGATGCCTATTTGCTATGTTTACTTTTAAGGAAAATTGTGAGAATTTAGATCGGATTAAAAAAGGCTTTCTCTAGGTATGAAAGCGTGCTTATTTGGAACTTCAGCAAAGTCTGGTCCTTCTGAGACTGAATTTCAAATACACCTGGTAGATCATTAGGGTCGTTGCAGACATTTCCTCATTGGAAGGTGTCAAAGTTTGAGTTATTTGGTTGAGACTGTGTGTGTGTGTTTACCTAGGCAAATTAAATGTGCATGTACACAAATATCCCACATTTTCAGTTAGATATCTCCTATTACTTATTTTGATTTGACAGATTTTTATAGGCTTAGATGAAGCCAGAAATCCTTTAGTGTATTTATTAAATGTTATTGTAATGTTGGCCACTTCAGAGAACAGTTTTCAGGATGTATGTGTGTTTTAAAACATTATAGTCCAAGCACACCATTAATCTTATTTGAGAGAAGGAACTAATCAGGTATACTTTTCATTTTAGTCAGAGTACCTATAGAATGCAATATTTCTTTCTGCTCTTACTAGTTCTTACATTAATGTCATCTCTTGTTTCCTATTGCATAGCAATGACTTTTTTGGTAATGACTGTAGCCTAAATGGGTAGCAATAGGTAAATATTGACTCTTAATAGTTTTGATTTGTTTAAAGATATTTTAATAATTTTCTGTGGAGCACTGTTTGGCATGGTCATAGGCTCTGATGACTTTATTACATGAGTAAAATTACATGTACGTATAAAAAAAAAAAGTCTCTTGTTAATCATTCTAGGATTTGTCTAGTAAAGAATTCCTTCTTTACAGAAATGTTGCAGCAAAGTTGCTGCTTCCCCGCCGCCCCCTCCCCCCCAAAAATAGTGATGATGATCCTCAGTTCTCAGTCCTTGTAAAAGTATCTCTACAACTTTCTGCGTTACTGGAATGTATTGTATTTTGTTTACTCTCACTTGATGTAAGTAAATACTCTGTGCTAAATTTATCTGAAGACTTAATTTAAAATACATATAAACCAAAGATTAAAATGGCCTTTTGAAAAGAATAGCTGGAGCGAAACAGTATTTAAGATTCCCTGAAAACTGTTTGCAAGTAAATTTAAGTCAGTGTTCAGTATTAGCATTTTCACTCTAGCTTAAATGTACCTATATTTGTAAAAGCGTAAATGATTTTGGCTAGTGTTGGCTCTGTTGTTTACAGGTATTTCAAAGTCCTGACGCTGTGTGTGTATGAAGTCCTCTGTCTCTGTATACACTTCTTTCCCCCACCAAAGAAATTGGTGACTTGTAATTTTTAGAAAAGCTTAGCTATTAAAAAAAAAAAAAAAGAGTTCTCAAATGGAGATGAAATTTCTGTAAGAGTATATGCCTCCAACTGCCTAAAAATCATTAATTGATCCATGTGGTAATAACAGATGGTTAAATGGAAGAAATGTCCTTGAAGTTATTCTAATAGCAGATGTGCCTAACTATTAGCTTCGTGGTTTTACTCACCTAAAATTCCAAATAATGTAATAAGAAAGTAACACACACCTAATAATTTTAATAAGTTCATTACCTTCTGTTACTGATTTAGGATTCATCTGAAAACTTAAAAGCAGGACATCATTTAGAATTTGTTCTGGTACAACACTTTAGAATATATGGGTGTATGTGCATCTGTATAAAAACATTTGACTTTTTTTTCTTTTTCCAGAATCCTACAAGATGCATTATTGCTTTCAGACAGTAGGCTTCACCTCTTCTTACAGACTCAGCTAAGCCCAGAAGATATGGAGGCTTGTGTATCTGGACAGACCAAATACTCTGTTGCTGATGCGATTCATAAGTTTGCCTCTTTGAACAGACGTTTTCCTATAGAAGATGAAGAGAGAAAAAAAGGAAAAAATGATGCGTACTCGGATTCAGAGAGGTGATTTCTGTATTTCCTTACTTTCTGAGATTATATATACATACATACATACACACGCGCATGCTTCACTTTTTTTGTTGATGTAATACTAAGATAATGAAAAAATTAATTGACTGAGATTTTATTGAGCTGTGACAGCTCATCATAGAAGTCTTCACACACACCTCCACACTGAATTAATGAATGCAGTAGAAATTCAATTATCTGCATTCTGATTATGTGAATTTCATTTAGTCAGACTTGAATTATTCGCGTTTAAATTATCTTGCTAAAAAAATATCCAACTGCACTCCAAATGGCTAATTAAAAGTCCAAATTTCCTGTCTCTCTTTGTGACTGGAGATAATTAAAGTTCTCCTCTGTTACTCAGGCTTTGAGTGTGTTGTGAAAACCAATTTCCTCCTTTTATTTTTTTTTTTTCTTTCCCCCCCCCTCCCCTTTTCTGCAGTTCATCCTCCGGGCTCGGACCTAGTGATGACAGCATTTCATGTGGATGTAAAGCAAGCCCAGCTTCTGAAGAATCATGAAAAATCATTCCTGTATTGCTATCTTAAGGACAGTACAAAGCAGTTTCTGCTCTGTTTACTGGTTACGTGTACCACGCAAACACGGCTGGCTGGTAACGCGTACCTAAAAGACGCGTCATCAATACAACCATATGTCCTTAGAAAATTTTCAAAACAGACCTTGATACTATTTCTTTGTTGAGTTATTATGTACGTTGATTCAGGTCTATGCGCTATCTATTACATTTAGGTTTTTGTGACTATTAAAATCTCAGTGTTGGGTAAGCCATGCTCTGCTGACATACGTGGCAGTTAAAATATTTCCCCTAGTGAGTGTATGTCTCGGCTCTGAAAAATAAAGGGAACTTAATTCCTCAGCTTAAAAGTTGGTGTATCATATCAAACGTATTCAAAGCATCTTTTTGTAGTTTGCATCAGAGAAGTTTCATCTTTAGAAGTCATTTGACATTGGTGATGAAATTACATACCCCACAAGGTATTCACTTTTTAAAGTAGCTCAGCAACATCAGCAAAACAACATTTGTACAAACTATATGCTGCTGACAATTTGAGAGATAAATATATCTTCCTCTGGTCTGTCTGTAATGTTTATGGAAAGCTTGGGTTTATCATGCATAAGAACTGAAGGCCAAAATTCTTGAGCGTGGTTGCTTAAAAGTTAGAAATATTAATAAAAATGACATCATTTCTAGGCTTGCTGGAGATTCTCAGTTCCCCGGGAATTACGCATGCTCGTTCCCAGTGAAAATCCTGGATGAGGTCCATTGAAACCAATGGCTGAATTTTGCATCGACCTCGCGAGGGCCAGGATTTCACCCAGCGCGTTTAACTTTAGGCAATTCCATTTGGAGACGCCGGGAGAGATGTTTTAGTTTAGCAGTTTAAGTGGAGATTATCTCCCTCTCCGAGACGATGATAATCACATAGCTATAACGCGCTGTACGGATGTGGACCTCTCCGCTCTTTGGGAGTAACAGGAGCTGCTGATTTCATTGTGGCTGTAGTTAACACGTTAGAATATTGACTTTTTCACAAACAAAAGGCAGGCTTGAACACAACTTCGTAACCACCAACACTTATTTTGATTAAACGTCAGTTTTGCTCTTTAGTGTTAACAGCAGCTGCGTAGTGTCTTGTCCCAGATTCTGTCAAAGGAATATGTTTCACTGTGGTGTTGTATTTATATTTGACATTTAACTGCTATTAAAGAGAGCTAGGGGGTCTGATCACCCTAGCAAAGCTCCCATTAACTTCAGTGCTGTAGTTACCGGCCTAGAAATAGATTTTTCTTTTTCTTTTTTTTTAAGAATTCTCTGGATACTTTCAAAGAAGGAGCATTTTAAGCCTGTGAATTACAGAAACAATAGATTATTAAATGGCCAGATAATAAAGGTTAGCATAGGCGTGTGTGGGCATGCTTGTTTAAAGCATCCAGCTGGGGATCTGTGTAATTTTAGAAACATGTTTTAATAGCCTGAGGATAACATCTCTTAGGTAACTGCTTTAAGCCACTGTATTTTGTTGATGGTAGCACTTTTATAAGATAAATATCCACGTTTCTTTTTGCTCGGTCTTACTGAATTGCACAAATGTATCTATTCACCTTCTCGGCTTGTGTGTGAGTTAGCAGCAAAGCTATTTTAATGTAAAAGTGATAACATTTAATTAAAGCAACAAGTTATCACTAAAAGTAGCTTAAAAAATAGCTGTTATTGCCAGGCAGAGATGTTTGATTACTTGACTTTTTTTTTTTTTTGAGATGGCACATTACAAGAAAAATTGTTTAGCAAATTTATTTAAAAAATGGAGAAAATATAAAAACAAAAACTGGAATAATGTCTGAGAAATATATTAATGTTTTTATTTAACACAATGTTAGGATAGTGGGGTTTTAATTTTGTTTTAAAAGATTGAGCTAAACTGTTGAAGCACTTTACAATTCTGGCCTACTTAACACATCTTTAATATCTGACAAAAATTACAGAAATAAAAGGTTTGGAGAGCCTTTGTGACTATTTTGTGATTCTAGGAGCGTATCTGTATGCCAGTGAGTGTTTTCCCAATGAAGATGTTTCTGAAATAAATACTTGTTTTCTAATAGTTCTATTGTTCTGTTATTTTCTTCGTGACCCTGTTCAGAAATTCTAAGGCTACTATAACAGAACTTTCTTCCCAGCTTTGACAGAAATTTGTTTAAATATTTATCTTTTGAATGTTGTTTGTATAGCTAGTATTACTGGAATTTTTCTTATTAAAGGGGAAGGAAAGTATTCTATGCTCTAGTATGTTGTCCTTTTGTACCAGCTGTATGTAACTGCACATAAATGCTTAAGACATTTTGTTTAATTTGGAATATTTAAATGTAACTGTTACAAATTCAAATGAAAAAAAAAATTAATGTCTTTTGTGATTTCAATGATTTGGTGATTTTTTTTTTCAACACTATGTAATATATATTGTGATTCAGTTGATCGCTGGTACTTTGAGTCTCATTTCTTAGATTTGAATAATGCTGATACTTCCTGCTAGTTTTTTAAACAGGCTAATATCTAGTTTATAATATTATCTAATTACTATTGCTAATTTATATCTAATTGCAATAATTCTGCACTCAAAAACTTTGCTTTATCTTTTGCTTAGAACTTTATGTTCTCATTTTTATGATGATTTCTTAAAAGCTTTTAAGTAATTAGAAAGTAGTAAATTGTTTTATTTATCTTGTGTTTAAACCTGCCAGTAAGGCTTCCTTTATTTCAGTATCCTAATGACATTATGACTTATCATGGGTAATTACTGTTCAACTATTTTTGTGATATATATATATACACACACACACACAGAGTAAGTGGTGTTTGGTTTGGGGTTTGTTGTTATTGTTTTTGTAGAAAATATAAACAAGTGAAAATAACTCCAGTAACATATGCGATCAAATTCTTTAATGTGTAACTTCAGGATGTCGTAAACTAGTACTCGGCAACCTGGTACTTACGGTGTCATTGAAATATGCTTTCAAGAAAGATGAGAAAAATTGTCTTTTGGAAAGAAATTTTTCACTTAAATAGCAGTGCATTTTTACAAGCGTTGAGAAAACTTGCGCTCTTACATGCCCCACCACGTAACACCGCACAATTCCGTGTCTCGGTCTGGTTTTGGCATGTGCTATATTGAATTTTTTCCGGAGCGCTATTTAAATGATGTAGGTACACAGTACTTATGGCTTGCTCTGCTGCAAAATGCAGGGTACGGATAAAGCCCGCGCGTTCA